ATATATATATATCAATATCTACATTAAAAAATTTACTTGAAAACTTAAAAAAATCGACTATATACTACTATAAATTTTCAAATACAAAACATTTTTATGAAACTTTCACATTTTACAGATTTTATAAATCATTTCATAAATCATTTCATAAATCACAGTTAGTAATAAATGCTCTTACACATTTGATTGCATGAAAAAGACATATGTACGTTGTTACTTTTTTCTTATATTTTAATCATAAATAGATTTCTGAGATAAATATAAAAATAATTGCGATCAATTAAAAATATAAATAATATATATAATATAAGGTCAGTTCAATTAAAATATATTAATTAAAAGAATTTTCTCAAGGAATCTAATTCACACGTATAGTATATATAAAACGATTCTATCGATGTGATCTGTTCATACTACATAACGTACAAAAAGATGGAAAAAAGATTGAATATCTTCTTCAGCATGATTTTATATTAATTATATAGCGTGTAAATATAAACGATTACTCCCATAATTTAATTACGATATTGAGCTAAGCCTTCACGAACGATTTAGCAGTAGAAAAAAATCATTCAGGGAACAAAGACTAGAATATTCCTGAAAAGCCTTACCTTTGTCTTTTTAAGAGATTAACATCAAATATTATATTTTTTAAAGAAAAAAAACATCGTAAAAAAATCATAATTTAAAAAATTTACTTTAGTAAATATATAATTGTGAAAATTATCCTCGTTCTATAATTTTGTAATATAATTTTATGTACGCAGATTTACTGAGAAATATTAAAGATATAACAAAATAATCTCTATAAATATGTATATAATTGTGCCATAAACGCGGATATAATATTAAGATTGTATAAATACATGTTGCACTTATTGCAATATTTTTTACTATTGTAAATTATATGCAATGTTGATAAAATATTTTTTAAAAAAGTGATTTTTTAGAGGAAATACAAACGTTAAGAAATTGTGTTATTGTACGACATAACAATGTAAAATGTAAAACTATATTTTATATATATATTGCATCAATATATTTCTGCTTTAATCATTTATAAAATTCGTAATAACTTGTTCCTGTCTCAAAAATACTCAAAAATAAATAAATTATATTTCTTAGTATTTTTTGTGATCAAAGCATAAAAAAATTATATTCTTATAATCGACACATTAATTATATTTTTAATATCTTTTCAATATTTTAAATTTAAAAATATTTTTTTCAAAAAAATATATAGTTTTTATCTTTATAATTTTAAATTTAATTATTTCTAATAAAAAGATTTTTGAAATCATGTATTAGACTTCTTTATATTATTAAAAAATTGTTGGGGGAATAATTATACATTATTCATCCATCAATAGTTATTGTCAATAAATGTTGTATACTTTATATTTATACTTATATTTTAATTAATTATTGAGCTAATTAAAAAAATTAAATAATTTTATTACATATTTAATTTCGATATTTTAGATTGAGAAAAACACTCCAACATAAATAAAAAAGCATCTTATAGCTTATTAATTAATTATTTTGTATTAATATTTTAAGTTTTATATAAATATTTTTTAAATCATTGCTATTGTTTTATTTTGTCATATCTTTCAATTACGTTGCTTCAAAATAATGTATCATAAATTTTTTATTTAATACTATAGTAATATCTTTAACAATGTTTTCAATATTTATTTGTAAAGGCAAAAAGATTAATTATTAATGAAAAAGATAAGGATAGGACTTTAGGAAATAACCAGAAAACTTGAGAATATTCTGTAAAATTCGAAGCTTAGACGAACGGAGTGCATCCATTTATTGTAATAACCCATATACTCGAAAGGAGAAGATCATAAAGAGGTTTTCATGATTCTCTGCAAATATGCGAAAACATGGCAATAGACTTATGATCTTTAAGTCCAGGCGTTTACAGGTAGTAAATGACAATGGTAATAGAATATGTCACCGAACGCCGACAAATATATATATAATATATATGTATATATATAAAACATTGTATAAGTTAACATTTCCGACTAAACTCTTATCGGTGTATCGAAATCGATACAATATAATTACAATATATCTGTATAATAAATATGAAATATCGATATATGTATACAATATATATATCATAATCGTAATAGTTTTGCTCTGATATATTTAGCAATATCTTGTCTGAACGATAAAGAGAATCTTTTTTTCGGTATTTTTGTTTTTTGATAAAGTTTCTCGAGATTACTCGCTAAGAAGATCGGTCCCGAATTTTCCGCATGTTGCGCGTTCATTAAAAGAAATCTGTCGTGAAGATTACTGTCGAACAATTTATACTAAAGCGATTTTCGGTGACTAGATACTTCGAAACCGTAAATTCCTCCGCTTACAAGTACGTACGCTCGTAGTAACATGATATACGCAAACTGGAGGTAAATATGTGTCGATGAGAAAGATAGAGTGAATTAGTGAGAGATTTTGGAAGGCAAAGAATGGACGAACTCTTAAAATCTACTATCGACTCGACCGGTGGATCATTTTACGAATTATTCGTAACATCGACTCGTCGAGTTGATAGTTCGATAGTAATTGCTTGTTGATAGACTTCCCCGTTGCACTCGACCGAATGAAACAACTAATATGAAATTAAATTATAAATGCAAATAGATATAGCTCTACGGAACTTGCGTACTTCTACATCGTCACATTATTAAATAATGTGAAGTATATGAGGGTCGAGAGAAGAAAGTCCACACAAAGGCTAAACTTTCAAGGTTGCCGCATCTGATAAAATGCGTATAACACGCGATTTAACCCTTTATGATCCAAGGTTACATCATGTTGATCGGAGGTGGCGAGCATTTTACACTTATTTTGCACTCATATCAAAGTTATTCTGATATATCAAGGCCATAATCGCGAATGTTTAAATGAGTATTTATTCATACTTGAATCATAAAAAATTAATCGCAAGATCACAAAAATAAATATTTGTAATGGAATTTAAAATATAAAGTAATAATTCAAATGGCTTAATAAGATATTCAATATATCTACGGAATATCGAAAAATAATGTTAAATGGACAGAAGATGATAGAACATATTTTGTGCTTATTTATAGAACAGATAAAGAATTTAATCGTCACTAAAGCGACATGTGTTCATTGAGTCAACAAATTCTTCGATGTTAACAATTGGTCGCGTGACGATTTGTTGTATATTCATTCAAGTTAATACGCCAATTATGGAAGCTGCTCAACAAGCGAACATGTATCTCTTAAGAATCGACTTTTAGTATAAACAGTAAGGTAAGTATAGCGTAGGTATTCAAAGTAGAAAGTGTAAAGTATCACAAGAATTACAATAATCGTAATAATTACATTACGTCGCAAAGATTAAGTTTTCGACCTTACTACATCGATCGCACAGTAATTATAAGCGCTTTTAATTGCGTCCCGCGCTTCGAGCACGCATCGATAGACAAAGGGATCTCTATCAAGTCAGATAATCCTCTGTAAATACATCATCAGTCTTTGACACAATAATTATAATAACACCACTGACAGAGTAAAGCCGTGAGAAATATCGCTTTATGGCATGGAGACGAAAGTACTTATATAAAATATTTGAGTTCGGAAATATGTGATCGAATGTGCTACATTTACCGAAGGAGAGCACCCCATCCCGGATAAATTCTGCGAAGAACTTTAGTAGAAGATAGAAAATGGATTTCGATGGAGCCCATTAATACGATGCATAAGCACTTATCGAGAGTATTCAAAAAGCTCAGCAGAATCGTTCTTCATGCGCGGCAAGCCAAATTACTCGATTGGAGAATAAGATGTCAATCCCGTTATTATATTGCAAAAAGTACATGTTTCTGTATCGATATACATAGGTTTTGATTGTGATAAAACATGAGATTTTTAAATCTTTCTACCTAAGAATCGGAACATCTCGATTAATAAATAGATAAATAATTATTACTTGCATTAATAATTTTATATACTCATTGGTTTCACGTTACCCGAAGGTTCATGCGTAAAGTTTTGTTCGTGCCAGAACAGAGAAACAAGAAAAATAATAAATAACAATTGATGAAACTTATCTGAATTATCTAAAACATCCATTCACGACGGTATAACGAAACTTTGACAAAAGTGTCACACATAATAAATTTAATTTTGTTAAAACCTCGGTCCCAGCTCAGTTTCTGAGCAAACCTTGCTCAAATAGCAATACAACGATTTTATATTTGAAATTCTGCCGTAGCTAGCAGCAAATAACTAACATTATTATCAAATTTTGCTCAAGTATTTTAGCCCACGATGGTGACATGCACCAAACCAATTTCCTTAGGCCATACAATTGATTTCCAAGATGTTTTATCAAAGCGTACAAACATCGCGTTGCAATTCACGACTTAAGTTGCTGTAGCTTGCGGTTGAGGCGGCGTCGGCGCCTGTGTGTTGACATTTGGCCTATAAAATCGGTTAACTAATTGTTTCAAACTCATTACAACGCCTAGTCCGGTTCCTAGTTCCATGTTGATGAATGAGTCGAGATTATCCTTGCAAGCTGGAACGTACGAAATGAAGCCGATGAATAAAAAATATTCATAAATAGATCTTTCTACACAAATATACGTGCAGTTCAAAAATTCATAGTATAATCCAAATGGAAATTAAATGTTGGAAGACGACGTTAAGAAAGGAGTATATATCAAGGTCCCATTTTCTATTATGTTCATATTGGACGTGAATGTGAGACTTTCAAGAGGCCAGGATGTTGCGAGAATTGTACAGGAAATCTTATGCAGGTCCACAGAATTTCTGAAGTTTCCTACATACTTGGTGTCGATATTGGAGGATAATCTGGCGGTGTCTTGATCCAAGTACCGTCCTTGCGTTTCATGTGATGTCGATTTGATGCGAACTGTTGTAAGTACACGTTGGCGGGCACCAGACGGAATCTTCTGTGATACTCGGGCCGCAGGGCCTCGTCAGATCGGAAGGTTTCGGTCGCGTACTTCCAGAAATGCGTAGGAAACGGCAGGCAGCTTTCTAAATCGTACACCACCGCCCTTTCGTCGGGTGCGTAGATGAGAATAGCATGATAATCCTGCAGAGAAGTAAGATATTCTTATGAAATATTAATAGAAGATAGGAGATATTTCTTAGCTTAATTATCGTGGCATTTCTTAGCTTAATTATCATCTCACCGCGATACTAACCCATACAACTAATTTGTCTTCATCCTTCCCCGATCGTTGACGCCAAAGGGGAACGCTTCGTCGTGGGTTGCTTACGAAAACAACGTGACAATGTTGCAATTCGGAAGGATGCCTAGTCGCCACATCTTGACAGAGCTTCCAAACATTTTCCTCGCTGAAATTGGGTACAAACCGCCCTTTATCTTCGACCAAAAATATTTGTGCAATCTATAATTAATTGTTTTTCTATTAGAAATGCGAAGGGATAGTTGTGCAAACGATTAATAAAACATTTTATTTGTTATGTATGACACAGATGTTTCATTTGTTTGCATTTTATCTTTGTTATTTATATCATAGACATGAATAATGAATAAGAGAATGAATTTAAATGGAAATATGGATATTAATCTTTAATTTAAATCATATTACATTCAGGAAACATCAAAGATTTTTATATTAAGTTATTTATTACTTATGCATTATTATATTGTACTTGTTAAGTATATAAATTATTAAAATATAATAACTAATAAATTTAATAATATTAATAATATTAACTTTATTAATATTAGAATTAATAAAGATAAGATTATTAATATTAATAAATATTAAATCAAATTATATTTTATATATAATATTGTATAGAATATATTCAATTGTGGGAATTGCATACATACGAAAAAACCAACATAATAAAATTATAACATAATAAAGAGAATACAAAGAATATTTAATGATGGCGTTAATTAATTACAGTAAAAAAAGCTCGATCTTTGAGGTTCATTCTGAAAGTGCAAAAATCATAAAAAATTGCCCTACAAAGTCATAAAAAAAAAACAACATCGCTGCTGTTAGATCAAATAAACAGAGTGCAGCTATTATCGAATAATCATAAAATGTATAAGTAAAAAGTTAAAAAGAATCGCTTCACCTACCTGCAAGTTACGTGTTCTGCGCAATTATGAAGGAAATGAAACCGATCTATAATCGTGCTCGTGCAAGTGTGGTTTAGCGCGACAACAACTTCGCGTGTCACCACATTTCGTGTGCATTATTTATCGCATGCATTATTAATTGCAATAAAAGCAGGTTTGTACATTCGCACCCATTTAAGCGGCACACGTGAAGTAGCCGATAGTTAAACGGCGTAAATCAGTACAACTGTACTGGTGAGTAGCCACAAAATAAAAATTCATTTCGCGGAAAGAAAGCAACTGAAACGGAAAATGCGAATAAGCAGTCGCACAAAGCTCCCGTTAAATCTCTGACCTATATATTTATCGATCTCCTTAAAATAGGTTACTTTACGTCGGAACATATTTCTCGACAGAAATTTCATCCATTCGTATTTATAATCAAGATAGTTCGGAATAAATTCCAAAACGAGACAAAAATGCTATTTGCTCCAAATGTATTCGAGACTTAAAACTGCGCTCAATTAATTCTTAAATTTTGATATCAGCGTTACGACACGCTGTTATTATTCAAAATTTTATCTCTCACTGTTAAGAATCACCAGTGAAAGCAACAGGAGAGTGAGCGATTTAGTACAGTTTCGAATTACGCGCCGCGCAAAAAATGGCCGCGCGTTCTCGCAACGTATCGATCGGAGCACGGCTGCATGCCGCAATACGACGCGTTTGTTTGTCCGATGATCGATCGGAGAACCCTGACCAGGTCCGGGCATGCTGTCACCAATTTCGATGACGCCGAGCCCGCAAAGATCACTCACCAGTAGCAGCTGGTGTTGACGCAATCGGATGCCTTGGTGAAGAGCGGCACCAGGGGCTTCGCGTTCCCGGTCACGCGAGGTTCAACGGCCATCCTGCGGACGTTCCTGCAGGACACGATGTGAAATATGAAGCAAACCGAATGCACGGACACGCGGAAACACAAACGCGTTTAAGCGAACCGTTTAATCATCCCGTAAGCCTCATAACGAAACGTTAAACGATCTCGAACTTCTCGTTCGCGTTTTTAACCGTGACGCGTACACCCAACCGATTGGGACATTGTTTAACTACTGCACCTTGGCGCGGGCGACGCAGCTCGTTTAAGCCCAGTGTCCCCAAATCGAATGAAGAAACCCCACCACGGCGTTCTCATAAACCTCCACGCACCTGCGCACTACCGGCGTGACCTTGTAGACTATACTCTGGGAGATTTTGGGTGATTTCCATTACTTAAATTAATTTAACTACATTTCAAAACGTCTCCGAGGAATGTTTCAGGATTGATAAAAAGTGTTTTTTTTAATACAATAGTTTTTTTTAAATATATTTTTAATATTTTGAACATGCTTTAAATATAGTATTGAAAAAACTTACTTTAAATATGTTTGAAACATTGATTCAAACATATTTCATGTTCCAAACATATTTTTTATCAATCTTGGAAAAT